CACACACACACACACATACATCTACATGCACACATGCATTTCAGTGCAGTTTGTGGTTGTATATACATTCTGTCTATCCTATCCTGAAATACAATCATTGCATCCACCGATATACAGTGATGATCTGTTTCCAGCAATATTCATTACATAATTATAAGGAATAGAGTAGAAATTTAATAGAATTTCCTTTCAGCCTTAACCATGGTTGTTTTATGTTTGTTTTGTTTTTGTAATACTGAAGAAATTGTCTCTTTTTATTAGCCTTAACACATTTGAAAGACGGAGGCTGGTATTCTGCAAACAATTTGTGCATGAAATACTGTACATAATTTGGCATGTAGAATTGCATGTCTCTTTTGAGAGTAAGTGGCTTGCAAGCAGCTTGATTTGCATTTGTCTGTCCACAAATGGACAGATTATCTTGTCATGCATGGGAAGCAGTCATGTTTGCATCAATGGTTTTCAGTGGAATGTCAATTTATTAACTGTGCTAGGCAAGCATTTATGGCAGCTGGAAAGTTTAGTCACTTTACATAGGTAACATTTTAACAGGTGGAAATTTGAAGGTAAAAGAGATGAATCACCACTCGAGGCTCTTGTTTTTATCTGATCTGGAGTGACGTGCATAATCTAGGTTGTTAATTCAGTTAAGCGGCTAAAGAACTCTTAGATCTCATGTCCTTTTAATAACTGTGTCAAACTGCATTTAGATTCAGTGAATAAGTTATGCCAAATACCAGAGCACTTGATTTGTTGTTTCAAAGGAATCTTTCAAACAACAAATCAATGTTGTACAAGGTTTATAAATTTCACTAAGGTTATACAAATTCTAGTTAACTACTAATACTTGGTTGATTATATAATCCTAAAAATAGCACCACTGTATGTTTGAATATCTGCTCCAGGACTACCAAGTACAGTGTTTACCCTTAAAAAAAAAATGTGGAGAAAATGACTCTGATATTTATGGTTACAAGTGAGGGATGATTTATGTGAGAATCCGCCCTCAGTGGATACAGAATTATTAAACAGTCTAATATGGGAAAGTCTGTTTCTGTGAGCAAGTTGCACCTCAAATTATAAAGTGGGCTACTGTTCTGCCCTCCACCCTCAGTCCATATCACTGGGAGTTCAAGACTGTCCTTTTACAGCTTCACTATCTTTCTGACAGCTTGCTTCATTGAGAGACATGAGTGGACAAGATGTCTCTGGTTCCAGGACTGTTGACACATCCAGGTCCAAATAGCTTTGTATTTGTTTAAATTGTTTTAATTTTCTATGTGCTGGTGTGCAAGGTAATGGTGTTGGCTTCTACATCAGGGGGGTTAGGGCAAGGGTTATGATTAATTTGTTAATGCTTCATAAATGATACACAGGTGTAGTGTTAACTACAGGCCCTTCCAACATGGCTCCACATTTCAATTATTTGATTCAAGTGTTAAGTAAAGTGATTTACTGTCTTTGGAAAATCTCCAAATAGATGTAATGGCCACTAGACTTAGCAGTCCTGGCATTGCAAAAAGACTTACGTATGATTTTGTTGCCATCTTTACACTCCAAGGACAGTTTTTATAGGCTCTCCAGCTCACCACCAACACATGTGTGTTGGGTATCGCTTGCTAGAGTAGCCTCAAGGTATCACTGAAGTGCTTTCAATCACTGTAAATCATTCATGGATAGACAGAAAAACATAGTAGTCAAGAAGACCATCTGGTATCACTCATTCAAACTCAGTGATCTTAAAAATCTACCCATGGATACTGCTTCTTATAGTGACTGCTGAGGTGGAACCCTAAGGCTGAATAGATTTTATGTAACACATTTTTTGCTATTGAGTTATTACTGTCCATGTGAGGTCTCTTTGCCCCTAAATTCTGAAAATGACTGATAAACTTCAGAGTTAGTTAAATGTTGCTAATTGAGCATTATAACCGCACATGGTTTCGGTTAACAAAAAAATGCTTAATGTGCCTATGCCAGTAACTACAGCAGCCAGTGGTCATACTGATTTTATGGTAGAAGTGGTTAACAGATTGGTGGGCTTTGGCTTCAAGCTGAATGAGGTCACACATAAATGGCCAAGATAATGTGTTACAAAGCTCTGAAAATGTGTGCCCTAAAGTTTAAAGTGCCTTATTTTCCAGTTTATCAGCCCAATAACTCCATCCTGGGCTGTTTCCTACCACCTCTACCCACTTGCAAGTCCTTTGACTGCTGAAATTCACTGATCAGAACCCCTACTATGCAGTGTCTGGGAACCTTAAGATGTTCTCTTAAGCAGCTCTTTTAGCTTGATGTGTGGGAGGAGGGCACTCATATTTGGGCCTTAATAGAGCCCCACTCCTACATCATTTAACTATGACCTGTCATTTAAGAATGTCTCATGATATACTTAGCCACATCTTTTGAGTTGGTATTTCAGATGAAATTTAAGTGGGCCATCGGCATGGGGAAAGAAACACAATGGAACAGTGTATATACTAACATGTATTCATATGTAGCTTAAATATGTGTGCATGTGGGGTATTACTGTGGGAAGACTGCGGAGATATCTGTTTATGCATGGAAACTTTATAAGAAATCTGTCAGATGTGATCTTTTTACCACAGGGGGGCTACCTCTGTAGTAAGAAAGGATTGTTAGGGCACAATAGCCCTTTTAATGATGTTTTCCATGGTTACCAGTCTCCTGCTTGAAAGATGAGCAGTCATTCATATCAGGGTCTAGAGGTCAGCTCCAATTTATTTCAGTTTGTTCTTGACGGTTAAACTCTATCTTGTATGGGAAACTCCATTAGTCATTATCGGTTTAGGCTGTTTAATTGGAGTTAAATGTAATCCTGTCCCTGGCCACCTTTTGTGGTGGTCTAAAAACATGAAATGTTTGTTTTCCTGTTAAGGTATTGCTGTTCTTTTGTCGGTATCTGTATGTCTGTGTACATTAAGTCTGTGTTTTGTGCCGTGTACACCCTTTTGGTGGTCTGACACTGATTTGTAGCACCATGGTTCCAGTGAGCCGAGATTGATATTGTATCTCATGACAGGAAGGCCCATAGCTGGCACTAGTTCTTCAGCGTGCTGCTTGCCAGGGAATCATTTTGAGTTGGCTCTCAGGGGGGTTCCAATTATGGGCACAGTGTAGTCCAACTTCTTTGCTGCCAGAAACTCATTGCCCCCTCTGGTTTGTGTTGCATTAGTAAAAAACAAGAACTGATGAGGCAAAACACATTAATGGAGCACAGGGATGTCTTGAGCTGGATAATAGCCCAAAGTTTTGTTTCTAAAGGAGAGCCATGCTGTCTCAGCATTATGAATGAGCTCTAAACCTATTTAGAAGCTTTTCCACTGTGCCTGTGAATATCATACATACTATATTCTTCCCAAGCTTACAAAAGGCTGTGAAGCTAGCAGTATGTGGCAAGGGGTTTGTTTACACCCTGCATGTTGCCTTAAAAGTTTGTCACCTACAGGTAGAGAACTTAAACAGTATCATATTACTCCTTCCCCAAAGAGTGAAGTGCAGAGCTTGTGGTAGACCAATCTTCCTTTTTGTGGTTTCCGAATTACAGCTCAGTCTTCAGGGCGAACCAACATGAAATATCCTTCCTGGTCTATGATGTGGTTTTTTGTTTGATATCTTTTTCCGAGCATTCTGCATCATCAGGTTCACAGAATGTCTTTTGCAGAAAGAAAGTAAAATGTATTCATGGTCTATACCTTGATATTCAAAACATCCTGTGTTCATTTGGCGGCTTCATGGGCGGCTGTGGCGCAGAGGCAGAGCAGGTCCTCCCCTAATCAGAAGGTTGTTGGTTCGATCCCCGGCTCCTGGTGCCACATGTCGAAGTATCCTTGAGCAAAGATACTGGAACCCCCGCATTGCTCGGCCTATTGGCAATGGCCATCCCGGTGAAAGTGGAATGTGTAATGATTGCAATTAGTTTCTGTTTGATGGGCCCTTTGCCAAATCGCCTGGGTGTGTATATGTTGTGGAAGAGGATGAATGTGGTGCCACGGTAAGTGTAAAAAGCGGCTTTGAAGTGGTCGGAAAGAACTAGAAAAGGCGCGTATAACAAATACAGGTCCATTTAACATCCATTTTTGGTTCTCAGTTTTGTGACTAGACATTACATGTCTTACATTACATCAGACAAGAAAAAAAAAATAGACATGTATATGCCTCTATAGGCATGATGATGATGGTAATGATATGACATTATACGCTTAATGAATAACTTTCTTTAACCATGTAACTAGCCAGACATGAAACCACAAGATCAAACAGGGTTCAAATAAGCAGAAAGCAAACACAACTACCATATCATGACCTAATTGACTTCACATTTATTTATATTGGCTGTCAAGCCTTACAGACATAGCTTATGATTGCATAGTAATTTTCATGTCTCCAGAGGGGAACTCTGACACTCCAAACACAGGTCAGATCACTGATGAGCTCCTTTGCAGAGTGAGAGAGAGAGCATTGTCCTAGTCAGCAGGCCTCAAGGGATGTTTTAAATGGTGATGGAACATAGTCAGAGAAACAAAGTTTTCTGGGACTGTCCAGATGTTCAAATGTTTTCCCATGGATTATACATGATCCTTTACTTCCAAAAGCTGTATATACAGTCTGAAACTGTATATATAGCTTTATCAACAGGGTATCACAAACTCTGGTACCCCATCCTGGAATGTAAGGAAATCTAAAAGTGCAGCGTTCATGGTCAGTAAGCGACCTTCTCGACAAGACAAACTAGCACCATAAATCCAGCGCCGCTCCATTCATCAACAGACCTTTTTATGCCCAATTGGCCTTGAAGCTGTCATTGGTTAACAAAAGCTATTTGGAAAACCTGAATTGAGATTGCACTTAAAATGCTAATGGTGAACCTTTTGTATACCCAAACATTTTTGATCTCTGAGAAGGAATGACCGGTTGGCCCTTTGCTGACATTGCAGGCACATTAAACAGGCTTCAGCAAAAGCATTCCTTTGCAGGCCTAAAGCTGGTCAAAACTTTTAATCTGCTTTACATCCGGCAATGAAATTGTCTGTATTTACATTTCCAAGGTTTCTTTTTTCTTAACGTGGCACAATTACATCATGGTACTTTTTTTAGAAATGTAGTAACAGCATTCAGTGTTTGATCACCCTCTGGTTCACACGGATGTTTTTTCTTTTTGGTAAATTCTGAACATAGTCCAAAAGAGTGCACATCTGGTTGGCATGAATGATGACTAATAGGTAAGATGTTTTACTAATGAGGGGTTTGGGAAGCTTGGAACATGAGTGCACGTGTGAGGATGTCTGCTGTTCATTTGGCAGATGCATAAGAAAATCAGATGTTTGAATTATGGGAGTAAGAGATGGTCATACATGCTGCGTGCTGACAGACAATCAGGCTCTGTTTGAGAGATGTGCCTCACATTCCAACTTATTATAGACCTTGAAGTTTAATCTTCACACAAATCAAATATTTTTTATGACCAGCTGTTACTTATGCTGAACAAATTGCATGTTTCAAATTCTTCTCATTGCTCTTAGAAAAGCCTAAAAATAAAATCTATATATATATATAAATAAGCTATATATATATGCAGGTAATAAAAACATTGTCATCCAAATCATTCTCATTAGATTTCACTACCAAAAGAGTAACAATACATGCTCAGTTATGCTTTCTGCTTTAAAGATGGCTCACGTCAGCTTGAGTACACGTAACAGGAGGATTACAAATTAAAATGGTGTGCCTTCCCATATGATGGATTTCACCACTAAATTACTACAGTTTTTTCTAAAGTTCTGCCTTTTTCAACCCTACTCTGGTAGAAATCGTGCTCTAAGTGGGAGCCAGGTTCAGACATGCGAGCACAGGCCCACTGAAGAGAGACCCTTGAGGTTTCTCATTCTGATATTATCAGAGTAAACATCTGGTTGGCCTGGTGCAAACGACGCTTTATTGTTAACTGCCATCCTTGAGGGAAGGATGCGCAGTCTACCTAAGATGTTCTGAACCTTGGAATTTAGGTAGAACATAGCTGTTTTTTTAAGGTCTTGTTTCTTTCAGGATCTCTCAGGTTCTTAGGATTGTTTGTCTCAGCATTTTTTGCAACATTTGTAGTATCTTTTGTATGTAGATATTAATACATAATTAACATTAATATAGTTATCCACCTATTGACTCCTTTTAGGACTGGCTTTAGATTTATGCATGCTATATGTTATGTATGTTATGTGTACAGCTAACTAAGGACATCTAGTAGAAGACTTTTACATTTGCATCACTCATCTAAAGGTTTCCAGATTTGGTTGGTATTTCTGGCACATCTTGAATTAAGTACCTATTAAAGCAGATACATAATAAGTACATATTATAATTACAATCTGTTTAGTGATAAAACTTCCTAAGAATTCTCTCTCTGATTGGTGCAGAGGGGAACTGCATAATTGATACTGGAAAGTATTTTTATTGCAGTCCTGTTACAGCTTGACTGAGTTGTCTGTTAACTCAGACTCTAATGAAAGCCTCTTTAGTTCTCAGACAGATATCCAGAATATTCAGACTTGTGTTTATGGTTGTACAACAGAAAGCAGGACCTCGGGTTCAGCTAAACACCTCGTGTGTTTAAGCTCTCAACAAAGCCAACTGCAGACCCCACTGATCTCCTCGCACTCAGGGCAGTGGGGAGGCTTTGAACCGAGCAATAGAGCTTGCACATTAGTCACCAGGTGGTAAACCAAAGCATTTCTTCAAAGCACCAGAAACTACAAACTAAGTCTTCTCCCAAAACAGTTATTTTTCTTTTTAACGCAAAGACACTTTTATTTTTGACCAAAGCAAAAAGGTTTAGTTTCAGTTGTGATGCTAGTGTCTCTACCATGTCTGTGAATGAATACACATAGCTCTTTGTGCTCGTTGTATTTCCTAAATGCCCCGATTATTATGCACTGACCTCGCCAGAGTCACCCAGGGTGATGGGAGAGAGAGCAAAGATATGCAGGAGGCCCAGCTGTTGGTCCCTGAGTGCCCTGCAGCAGTGACATTTAGCAGATGTCACACGAACCTGTGGAGCTTTTCGCATTTTTTGTGTATCTTCGGGAATGTGATGCATAGATATCCGTAGTTATACTATTCTGGGCATAGTAGATCGATCAGTGGTCAAAAGTAGAGACAATTTCAAAGTTTTGAAATGCATATCATTTACCATTTGAATAATTTAGGTCTGTTGATGTGATTTTCTGCAGTAGAGTTTTGCAGGAAACCCATCAAGTGGCTACAGCTTCACATGTTTTCATCTTGATTTTAGCTCTCCTGAAACTTTGGAGCAGACCTCTGTAACACTACATGAAATGATGATCCTTAAATCTCTCAACACACATCTTGGACTGCATCTACTGGACTGTGCCTTTACATCTCCCTTTAGTTTAATTTAGGAGGTAGAAGTTTCCTTGCAGTGCCTGCTAAAGTGATTTTCTTTTCTTGGTCTCAAAGGGCCTATCCTTTGCCTTTTTTGGGGATGGCGATCTTTTCTGTATTTCGGTCTAGATGTTGTAAAAATGGTTTATTTATTTATGGTCCCCTGAGCAGAGTCGCTGTACCAGTGCCTCTCAAAAAAGCTTACAGCTTGGTTGGAGGCATTTGTGGTAACATTTTATGAACTGTGTTGATGCTTTTTACATTACTTTTGAAAGAGAAAAAAATCATTGACCAATTATGCTGTTGATTTTGGTTTTGTTCTAGCACAACGATAACCTATGCAAGTAACAGTTGTTGTTCCTGCATCCATTCACTTTAAGTCAACCCCCAGCAGCCTAATACAGCCTGGTCTAACATTATACCTTGCCATGCAGCCCTCCCTTCTAACCTCCAATATATTTCATGTGCATTGTGGCCTCACATCCTTTTTCTCTCCCCCTCTAGAAGACAATGGAGTCTCCCTGCTACAGCTGATTGGGGATCCTCCTCCAAACGAGATCACCCGGGTCTATGGGCCCGACCTCAGTCCTGGATATGTTTTTGGCCCCGATGCCAACACAGGCCAGCTGGCCCGTGCCCACCTGCCAAGCCCATTCTACCGAGACTTTTCCCTCATCTTCAACCTGAAACCCACCTCTAACAAGGGAGGTGTCATCTTCTCCATCACAGATGCCTCACAGAAGATCATGTATGTGGGTGTTAAACTGTCAGATGTGCAGGGCGGCAAGCAGAATGTCATCCTGTATTACACAGAACCCGACTCACAGCAGTCGTATGAGGCGGCCAGGTTCCTTGTGCCCTCCATGAGGGATGTCTGGACTAGTTTTGCCATCGCTGTGAGGGATGACAAGGTGATGTTCTACCTCAACTGTGACACAGACCCTCAGGTGATGCGCATTGAGAGATCCCCGGATGAGATGGAGCTGGAGGCCGGTGCTGGGGTCTTTGTCGGGCAAGCTGGAGGAGCTGATTCTGAAAAGTTTCTGGTGCGTACACACTCTTCTCTGTTTCAGACCAAACAATATTGAGGCACATAAATCAGAAAATGTAACGATTTATAAAGATATACTGTATTTATTTCAAAAGCATTCACAGTAGATAAAGAAATTATTTGAAGAGCCTCTGCTCTGAATAAATTAAACTAGTTCTTGTGTTGGAGAAGAGCTGCTCATCTAACATTCCCCAACTACTTCTCTCTAAAACCAACAAACTGTGATGAGACTCTTGCCGCAGGAAGATTTGGAGAAGTGCAGTATAGTGTTTTGGTTTCCCATAGTCATGTGAAACATCTTGGCTGAATAAGTCTCATATGATTTGATTGCTCAAATTGGCCTACTCTAAACCACAACATAAATGTCTACATCACCTTGCAGTCTTCTTGGGAGTAGTCTGCAAATAATTGGAAGCCCTCACAGTTGGGATGTAATTAACTTCAGTCATTTGACTGCTGTAAATCCAGGCAGTTGACCGCAACAACTGTTGACCTTAGCTGTTAAAGGGTTATAGTAGTTCGCCCATGGCTACCTGCATGGAGAAAACATGCAACAGCAGGCGTACTGTCAGTGAGCATTGTTCATCCTGCTTCTGTGCAACTAATTATTTTAAAAGATAGGCCAAGAGCTGTAGGTACAGTCCAGCTTTTTTTTTTTTGCACAAATCAAAATAAAAAACTGCATTTGTAAAAGCATTTTAAGACACTGTATTGCTTTGTTGCAATCAGTAATGACTGTTTGTGTTTTATGTCCTCATTAATCACCTTTAGAATCTGGGAAGAAAAATGACTATTTGGACTCAAGTAATAGTTTGACAATAATAATCCCAGATATAAATCACTAATTTATTTTAATGTGACACCTGAAAATACAACCCAGGTTTTTTGGGTTGGGAAGACATCTTTACTGTATGCTAATATTTTTTCATATCAGAAAATAAGATATTGAAGAGACGTTACTGTGTCATGGAAGTGATTCAGTTACTATAGATTTAGTGGCCATTTCTACAGTAGAAATACACAACCTCCCTGATGACCTTGTTGTCTTTCTCCGTTTGAGTTACTCTTTAACTTGGCAGTGATGCTTTACTTTGCTGTTTTCACTGTTCAGTGTTGCCAAGTATGGAGTCTTGCTGCTTATGGACATGAATACCCTCCCTGTTCTGTTAATAATACTGAATTGAGGTCATGAAGCCACCCAAGCAGAAGCACCTTTGACTAACTTACATACAAGCCCAAAAAAGGTGGATATTCGTCCCATCCACAGCTAACAAGTATCTTTTAATAACATTGATTATATTGTTAAATAATACAGAAAGAAATATTTACACTTCCTCTAATGTGCAATAACGTTTTGAGTGTTTCCTCAGCTCATCTCTCGCTCCCTCTCAGCTGTAACACTTGTTTGAATCTTTTTTTATTGCTGCGTTTGAAGACAGCTGCTTATTTTGTTGTAAACCACTTTGTAACTCTACAGCACAGTTTAAGTTTTTCTTATGATACAAGCCCATGTAAGTTGTTTCCTTGTGGATGGATATTTTGTCTAAAAAGATCTTTTATAAACTGCTTATTTGGAAAAAGTAACCCAACCCTGTTTCTTCTTTTAGGACTTGTTGACCATGTGCTTTTTGTTGACCCTAGCATGGCCCTAAGCTAGAGGGGTCTTGTGAATTTAATTTCTCTAATCAAATCAAGACTCGGCAAGCTTCTTATGCATCTAAATATTTACACTATGTATTTATAAAATAAGCAGTCCATTTTGAAATAGGATTTGTTTAGCAGATGTCTCTTTTTCTCATTATCCATCATTAGTAAGGATGTACTGCAGTGACAGTTTAGACCTTTTCATGCATAGGATCTACAATTTATTGTGAAGATCTAAGGCAATTTGCAATTTGAAAAAGACCATCCCATGTCAACTAAACATTGTACAAGTAAGTACAAGAAAGTACATCAGTCGAACCGTTAAAAGCCCGTGTAAAGACAGAGTTTAAATGCCGAAGAGCCTTCACTATTTATCTTCAAAGCTCTCTTAAAAAATCCATTAAACTTTTCTCTCAGGACATAAATATGTCCCGAAGAGCCAACTTCAAATAGCTAATGGCCCTTTGATAGCCAGTCAGATAGCATTCATGCTATCTGTGTGAGTATCCTGTGTGGAAACATGTGTCAGATCGTGTGCGTGGGACAGAGATAGTGGCACTTCACAGGCGCGGGCTAAAATCGGAGACATCAATGGCCCCTCTGATTTTTGCGGAAAGGGGGAATTCCCTGCAAGAATATCACCAAAAAACTTTTAACAGCAAGTTCAGAGATCAGCATCTGCATTTGTATGTTGAAAGTAAGACATATTGTGTGTGCATGTGTGTGTAAACATCAGAACAATGTGTCTTTGTTTGACCACAGGGGGTAATCAGTGAGCTGAGGGTGGTGGGAGACCCCCGTGCTGCTGAGAGGCACTGTGAAGAAGAAGGAGATGACTCAGATGTGGTGAGTGACAACTAATCACATTTTAAAGATAACTGACTACATGTGACTGAGATTTTGTGCTATGACTGCAGGACATGGCGATTTATTCCAGCATGTTGTATCACTTATTACCAATAGTAAATCTGTAACAGATACGATTCTGCTGACCCTGACCACCCACACACAAACACAGGTGCCTTGCTGCAGCCCACCAGCAGCCTTTAATGTTATTTAGTAAAACATTGGCCCTTTGCAGCTGTTCTGCCTGCTGACAACACCAAATCCTCGTACTTACTGACAGAATAATGTTGAAGATTTTACCGCTCGTTGTCATCAGATCTTTTAGATGTTGCTTGGATTAGATGGGAAATCACATACCATGTGGAAATGACAGGTTTCTGATTCCAGGATGTGTCTTTTATCTCAAATGATAACCTCACACACAGCTGTTTTCCTGGATAGAGGACACATACAACATATTGAATTACCAACAAGCTTTGAAGTATGAGACCTACTTACCGTGTTGTATATTGTCTGATAAAACACATATAGCAGCATTTGACTTCATGACATAAGCACTAAGACTTAGAGTACTGACAGTTTAGAGAGTATTAGATTACACCTTAATTTAACAAGGTAAAAGGCTCATTGAGATTAAAATATCTGTTTCAAGAGAGAACTGGCAAAGAAGGTGGCTTAGAAAACACATTCGCAGAAATAAAGACGATACAGACAACTAAAGTAGGCCAATAATACTACCACACTGACCACAAATAGCATATAAAACACTGCCATAAATTGCTTAATTCCTTTATAGATGACTAAGAATATATGTAGAGTTCATGACACACACGATACAAGGACAACACACACAGTTAAAACAACGTGATTCAATGCACTGAATAAAACAAACGTAATTCAATTTAAAATGTATGATTGGTCTCCTCAGGCTTCAGGTGAAGGTAGTGGTGATGAGGAAACCAGACCCCCAAAACCACCCGCCGAGAAACACAGATGGACGGTATGTAACTTCTGTTTGTTATTGAGCTCTTTAACTTATTACAGAGATTTGACAATATTCATCTGCTGTTGTTGTTTGTTTCTCCTCATTTTAATGATTTATTGATAATGGTACTATTCCTTCCAGTTATTGTGCTGCCCTTATTCTTCCTGATACATTATATTGGCGGTACAGTGGTTCAGTGGTTAGCAATGTCGCCTCACAGCAAGAAGGCCCTGGGTTGAATCCTGGCTGGGGTAGGGCCTTCCTGTGTGGTGTTGGCATGTTCTCCCTGTGTTTGCGTGGAATGAAGTTCCCTATGGGATTAATAAAGGGAAATTTATATTATATTGAAACATTATAGGAAATTGCTCTGGAATTAAATAAGTTTGTTGCAAAATGGTACATCAGGAGTGCATAGGAGAGTGAGAAGAAGAATTAATGAAAAATGCTTTGTTCCTTAAGGATTGGAACAGCTGATCATGCCAGACATGTATACCTGGCTGACAAAAACTATTAGCAGCAGACCGTGCCTCTGCAAACTGAGTCATCCTAGTGTTACATACACCACTGATGTCTCAGGTTACTCGGTATAAATGAGTGAATACTCATCCCTCAAGAGAGATTAAAAACTGCTGAGTTGATGTCTGGAAATTGAGCCGCTTCTGTCTTATACATTTGGGGACAAAGACTTTTTACATCGAAAGTTTCCTCTTGTCAGGCTGGAAAGGAAATGACCTTGGAGAGTTAAAACTGGGCCTTTCTAAAGTTTAGAAATTAATATTAAAATCTTTTTTTGAAAATGTATTGCAGTTTTATTTGCTTATAGCTGTCCAAATAGAAAGTAAGGCCAGCAAGAAGAATTGGATGGATGTTAGTTCTTCAGCATAAAGTGCTTAAACCTGGTGTCAGGTGAGGTGTGAGTGTTCTGGATAGTAGCTGTAGACTTAACACTCAGATGAAGGCCTAACCTAACAGATATCATGGAAGGCTGACAGATAAAATATCTTACCCACAATGCACCTGTACATCCACGCTGTTCCATTCACTCATCCCTCTGCTCCCCACTGTCTTTCCCAGTCACCCGTGTAAACTCACAAAATCATTGCGTGTACTTTCGGTGTCTTCCCTCCATCTCTCCTTTTGTCACTCTCTCTATCCCCCCGTCCTGTCTCCTCTCTCTGTTTCCTGTCTCCTCTCACACTCACACACAATCTCCACAGACACCCACTCACATCTTCCCACCCTCAAAGATAGACACGCAGGCTGAAATGCAGCACTACCTCCGCCCTGCACCCCCCCCGACTCTGTGCGTGCATGCACTCCCACTCGCAATTACAGTGGAGAGTTAGAAAAACCAGATGTCAATTTGGACTCGATATGATCCAAGTCAGAGGCCCCCCCCGCCTCAAGGTTTTGTTATTCTGACTGGTTTCTCAATCAGCTGTGTACAGGAACTGACAGAGGTGGAAAGAAAGTTCGGGAAAGAGAAGGGGAGGGCTGGGTCAGGTACCTCAAATCGGAAGTCTTTTCATCATTATTGCCTTATACTCTGCCTTGATGCCCTGCAATGTTTACAAGGGGCTTTTCCATCTGTTCAGTAGGCATTTATTAGCGTCACGTAATATGCAATGTAACGTAAAAGACAACAGCTGGCATCTAATTCCTACCTACCGACGTTTTTCCATCTGATCTCTGAAAAAGTCGAAACCTACACTCTGCACAATTGTCCAACCAGTGCAATTAAGGCAAGTCTTGGCAGAGGCAAGTTAGAGAGGGAGAGTTGTATAAGTGTAACTTTCCATTTTGTCATCCTGGAATTCATGGTGATAGATGGCAGAGAGAGTCGCTCAGTGTCCCCTACAGCGTGAAGCCCAAAGAGGAAATGTTTCAGGAGAATAATTCTAACTGGATGTGATGGAAATGATTGTTTCAGATAGATTACAGCCACTTAGTTGTTATTAGAAATTGTCTGTAATGTCCATCATGTTAAGAAAGACCTAAAAATCAATTGAAATGATATTTTCTCAGATTAATGAAGGAAAAAACAAAAACTTTTGTAAATTCTTTAGTTTGAAGAATGTTATGGATTTGACTTGGACTTTCGACTTGAGGGCAATAAGCTGAGGAGATGTGACTCAGTGACCCATATAGAGACTCATATATATTAAAAACTGATCCACTGAATGTAGTTGTGCCTTTTGGAGCTATGCCAAAATGTCATAAATAATTATGAACATAACCAGGATGTTTGAACCTTTCCATAATCTAATGCACACTTTCAGTTGCAACTGCTTGCACCAGAATAAAATTGGGATTAAAAAAATTTAACATTTAATTACAAAATGAATTTGTCTATACACATAAATGAGTAGCTCAATAGTCTGACCTCCTCTCCAGCACATCGCCCTGTTGGAGGGAGCGACTGCCAATGTGAGGAATTTGCAATAACAATATCTAATTAAATTCTGTGTAAATGCTCCTGCAGCTTCATGATTAATGCTGCTAATTAACTGCTGAAAAGACACATTAGAATCACTGCAACACACATGTCACTTGCCCGTAATGGTTCATGCGTCTTGTAAACACAGCCATGACGCTGCACATCATAATGTCAGAGTGCAATCCAATAAAATTGATTTGAACCGAGCTAAATGACATTTGGCTCATGACACGAGCCTGTGAGCCCGTCACTCGATCTAAGATAATCTTGTGATGTTATTCACAAATGACCAGATTCTGATTTTCTATCATCTATAAATCTGTATCCATCTGCCATTTAAAATTAAAAATCATAAAATTATAAAATCCCTGTGTCGGGTACAGAGCAGACAGAGTACTACATTATACTGTAAAAGTATTTATACACTATAAAAAAAAAAAATGTGTCTTAATATTTTAAAGCAATGGTCACTCTTATAATTAAGTTAAGTGAACTAGTACTGAATAGTTTGAGTGAACATATTTCCTTCTTTGTATGATTTGGTTGAAAAATGTCTCTTTAAAAATACTTTGTAATCTATTAGATTGCTCTTTAGGTTTGTAGTTCCACTTGTAAAACATTCTGCTGAGATTACCTAATACTCTACTTGATTATTTTATTTATTTATGGTCCTGGGAAAATGCTGTTAAGACTCCATTGCATCTTCACTTTGCAAAAGTGGTGGTAAAGGAGCCTTCAGAAAAATTTGTTTTTCAAAACCTGATTCCACTTTATTATCAGATAAAGTGAGAGTCTAATCATGGTTAGTTGCAGACTGTTTTTCTTCCATCCTTAGGCCAACCACAAAGAAGGGCATGCACTGAAAAAAACCACCCTTTTTTTCTGCTGCAGAGGTGGAATACGTTCATTGCCGAGGGAGATGCATACCTGCTCTTAGATTTAGGGGGTTGTGTGGTTCAAATCCATCAACACTATGTTCTAAAGATCGGAGCCTCCCACCCGTCATCCCCGGCTATGATGGATAGGTAAAGGAGTGAACAAGCAGGGTATTCTTTATCGCATTAATACATATATCAGCTTAGAAGAGTCAATAGTGGTCTGGCCAAATTCTTAGCATAGCCAGTGCCGTGCAACACGGGGGAGAATAGTTTCCCAGAAAGGAAGCTGGTTAATCATCAACACTGCCTTCAATTGCTCCTTCAGCTGCCCCCTCCCCTACATTCTTTATCCCACTCCTCGCTTGAATTCCACAGGTGACAATTCGAGGTGTGTCACCGGTGAAGAATGAGCTACAGACAGGGGGGTGGTATTTGTATTATTCCCTCCCCCTCTCTCCTTTTTACCCAAAGGCAGTTTGGGAGCAGAAGTGACCCCACTTCCCCCAACCTTCAGTTACTCCTGTTGCTTTTGTCAGTCCTGCTGTGTTTGTTAGTGATTGGAGATTGTTGGCAGACTGGAGGCTGACCTGTCTTACCTTTGTCTCCAAAACTATTTACACTGTAGGGTAACAAACGTGTTCTAAAACGACAGCTCAAGAAGGGAAGAATAATTGAGCAGAAATTTGATGAGGGAGTACACACACAAACACCACATCCTTCTCTAAATTCAGCCCCTTTTATTTGATCATGTAGTTTTACAAGGTTGGCTGCAGGTAAATTGGGTTTTAGAGTTGCAGCTATAAAATGTTGTACACATACACAAATGCACACAAATTGATACCCAGAAAGGTTGGTGTATGTCGTTTGTGTTGTCAACAAGCTCAGTTATTGCGCGCTCGGTGTCGCTGTAACTCTGGGTATTGACATTTTGCAACTGGGGCCGTGTTCCCAGAGCCTTAATGTTCACATAAGGAGGAGTTTTGCAATAGGGCCCAGGCATGAGATGTCTGACAGTGATTAGCATATAAACTGTAATTACTGCGAACAGTAACAATTTGCCAAAAGAAAAAAAAAAAAAGAGTATACATGTTGACTCAATCACCTTTTAAAAGAAACATGAATTGTTTTTGTTAGGATTGTTTAGGATTAACATTAACAAGCCTGACTTTCCCCCCATGCACTGACATGTTTCTAACAATGTTTTCAGGGCTCTTCAATGTAGGGGGGAAACCAGTTGAAACTGAGCCATAAGTAGGCTCAGTGCGGCTTCCAGTAAATGTCACTCATTGCCCTTTTTAAATATGCATCTCTCTGTTGCATGTTATTTTTCTGCAGACTACCACTCCATCTTCCCGGCCCATTCAGCAGCCACCACTGACCAGGAAAGAGGAGGTGTCAGTTACAAGACAAACAGGTGAGTTTATCTGGACACAGTTAAATATCACTCACAGTCCTTAAGTTAGACTGTTGTGCTAGCAGAGAGATATCAACACTAACTTGAGATGGAATATTGGTTGTGTTTCTGTATTATTTTTGAACTGGACAGAAGTTGGAGTTTTGTCAGTCAAAACGTTTAGCGTAATTTTTTTTTTTACACAAGCCCTCTTCAGAGTGTTATTACAGATGCTTTTGGATCTGCCCCTTGCTGTTTTGCAAATATACCTGTCTTCCATAAATTTATAATTTTACTTTCAAAGATGGAAAATAGATGTTGTACTTCCACATGCTGAATGGTCTGGAATGCGTATGACCGCGCATGGAGCTGCTGAGTTCAGATTCCTTGAATGCATGGCTGAGCTGGCTACAAAGGGATTCACTGACAAATGTCTCCATCTAGTGGACATAAAGATGAATGCAGTGTAAGGGTTGGAAGTTGTGATGAGCACTGAAGTGTCAGTGTAGGTGTTTCTTTGTAAATTACTTTAAAATTAATAATTGTCACTGCAGGAACATTAAAGATTAATGTTCAGGGATAAAGATGACTTAATAACTGGTGTCATGTAAAATGAAAAACCTCAAAGCCACTGTGTAAGCTTGAAAAAAATCTTACTTTGGCACCATCTGTTGGTCGTGAAATGAATTACACATATCAAAAATAAGTAGGTCTCTATTTGATATTTTGAAGCACAATGTTTTCTGCAAAACAAAGTCTACAAACATATTGAATGGACAATATTAAATTTTCTGTGAACCTGACTTTAATAAAGCATCAACACTAATGCTAAATACAAAGATGTACGTCTCTGATGGATCACTGATGGAGGGGTTCATGACAGAGAAAAGTTATTGTCTCATAGCAAAAAAAACTATTTTTAGCACTGTATCTTCAAAAACTGACTTTCACCATGAAAACTTATGAAACTGGGATGAAGACTGGAAAAAGGTCTCTGCACACCTACTATACTGTATTTTTAGAATGTGCAGTGCTTGCATCAATTGTAAGGCAAACCACAGCATCTTGTTGGGGGTGTCAAAGTGGATAAAATTGATGACTTTTTATGATTACTTGCAGTTACAGAGCTTGAGATTGAACTCAATTAAACATAGGGTGTAAATCAGTGTATGTTAGGCACCTGTAAATCACAATATATTCAGTCTTCTGTTGCTACTGTATCTAGATTTAACTTGAGATGGTTTTCTGAATTGTGGCTTGTTACTAGTGATTACAATAAAGAAAAAACATACTTTTAAAATAAATTATAAAGTCCCCTTGTTGATCGTACTCAAAACAGTAGCCCTTCCAGACTCAAGAAAAAGCAATCATAAGTGAATGGACCAAAACAAAGGAGCTTACCTCATGTCCCGGAGCATCCATGTAACTGACTTTGAAATAGTGTTAATCTGAAGACTTCATGTAACACTGTCTTTTGCGTTGTGTTCAGCAAGCGACTCAGAGCACGTTTCAGTTTCTGTGGAGTCCAGACCCGGACTTCCTGGGTCCCCAGGTGGGTCGAGGGGTTAAAAACACAGACGAGCATCCAAATGTCCTGTGTTTGATTTCCTTTTGGTTTTCTGGTCTGACGGCTCATGTGTACTCCTCATGCAGGACCTCACATGGATTTCAAAAGCACACAAGCACAAGCACAAGAATGCATGAATCTGTATACGTTTTGCTTTTGAATTCATGCAGGGTGGTGGATGTGTTATAAGCCAGGGGGGTGGAAAATTGGGCCGTTCAGGCTGTAATCCCCCCAAAAAATATATCCAAAGAGAGAAAAATAGAAGAGCTCAATTGAGAGAGGAAAACAGACACAGTACGAGAGAAAATGGGAGAAAGGATGGGAAAACAATTTTGATAAATCTTCACATAGATTTGTATTGCTTAAAAAAAACAAGGATTGGACAAGCAGGACTAGTATTGCATATTAGCTTGGGCTAGTAATGCTAAGATGTATGGCATCAGTTTTTTTCCGTTGCTAAACTCTCATATTGAAAAAGCTGGCTTGAAGCGGACGTACGTTTCTGTGCATGTCAGCAGTGTTGGAGATGGGCGACTTCTACAAAACTGATGAAGTGGCTTGCATTTCATACAAGCTCCACTGAAACTGACACATTCAGTGGGAAGAGTTTAAGGGCAACTCAACTCACACCAGAACATAAATCTCAGGATGGTAGTGCATGCAGGTGTGGGAAGGTGTATTCAGTTACCTCAGAACCTTCACATGGCCTTTAAATTACAGCCGTGCACACTGGGATTCTTGCTCCATCAAGCAAAAAGTAATTTTCTTTTCCTCTTTTCTCCTCTTCTTTTGGGTGCAGGAAATGTCCTGTTTATTGTTTGGGATATGGGATACAATCATTAATCATTTTTGAAAGGTCTTTTCATGAGGGTATTAATGACTCTGTCCTTTGTCGTTGTTTTCAGGGGCAGCTGGGGCTAGAGGAGAAAAGGGTGACCGAGGGGATAAAGGAGAGAAAGGAGACAGGGGTCCAATTGGGCCGAAGGGAGAATCTGGCTTTGGCTCCAGTTCACGGGGTGGATCCCGTGGAGAGAAGGTTTGGACCTTTTATAATATTCTAATTTGAGAGTGGGTGGAATACTCAAATTAGAAGTAATCTTTTCCACTGACAATGCAAGAAAACTTTTTTTTAACCTAGTTTGGCCTTCTGAAGGTTGCAGTGGGCAGTGAGTTAGTTGTGAGTTGAGCAGGGGTAGTCACAACACTGATATGAGCTTTGGTAAAATGCCCCAAAAGAACACCAGAGGGAGCTGCAAGTCCTAATTTTATACAAGCATATACAGTGTAATGTCAAGCTATTTTTATTTTCATTACATATTCTACATTTAAGCCTAAGTTGTGTGTGTAGTTATGTTGTCTTACGAAGGCCAAATGTTATGATTAAAAATAACAAAAATCCTCCTCAGTGATTACTTTATTGTTGATCTGACATTTATTTTGATTTTTTCTGTCTTAAAAGAACATACACTTAATACATTTGTCCAAATATAAATGAAACTAGGAAAAAAGAAAAACAAACAAACAAAAAACAGATACAAAGACAAAAAATATAAGTCAAATACAAACATAAATAGTGTTTAATATAAACATGTTGAAGCACAAACCAGGACAAACTTATTTTCTATTGACCAACAAAAGTTTGATTTATATTCCAATTAGTTTAAGGTTTATATGAGGATGTTTAGGGTGGATGGGATTACTGTTTTTTTTTTTGTATTTCTTTCTATTAACAGACATTTTAGTGTGTGTCTGTTTATTTGAGCAGAATCTGATTTCCACTGGTGCCGCCCTCCCAATGAAGCTGTTGGCACTGACTTGGCTTTTGTTTCTTCTTTTAATTTTCAGGGAGAACCGGGAGAAAAGGGAGCAAAGGTAGGTTAGAGATAAAAAAAATTTGGGTGACTTTTGGATTTTTGATTTGACTCACAGAGAAGCTATACAGTAGAGACGTGTTGCAGTAAGTTAGTCAACCATAAATAAGGACTGTTGGTCTTCCTCATCAAAATCACATGTTCCATTCCTTGATGTGAGAGATGTCTTGTACAAACAGAGCAATGATCTCAGTGAATCTACATTTAAATAAGGGAATTGATCGGGGTTAATTTCACTGTTTGGATTTTCGAAAGTGAAGTTGAAAGATAAAACAGATACACCTTAAACTGACGGCTATGGAAAAGCTTACGTGTTTAATTCCTCTTGTTTAATCACAATCTCTGATAACAATGATGCTTCTTTATCAACAGGGTAATGCAGGCTTTGGCTACCAAGGAACGAAGGGAGAGCCCGGCCTTCCTGGTCCTCCTGGTTCCCCCGGCCCTCCAGGGCCCGCAACTGAGTTTGCAGTCGGCGGTGATGGCTCAGTTGCTTCCAGAGTCCCCGGACCCCGAGGGCCAGCTGGACCACCAGGTGCCCCAGGCCCCCATGGACCACCTGGAGCTGATGGAGAGCCAGTTAGTATACTACAGTTGAATTCTTTACATGAAAACAATAATTGCAACAGATGTTGAACCAAGACCTCCTGTATTTGTCACACAGTTTATACTGAAGCACATCTTTTCTGTTGTGTGCTGTTAGGAGTTTCATTCCAATGTTGCCACTGTCATCCTTTTAATTATGAATTATAATTGGAAATAGTGTTTCAGAGGAGTTGTATTTCTTTATTTCAATCTCACAGGGTGATCCCGGTGAGGATGGAAAAACTGTAAGTTGTTCCTTTTTTCCTGCACATTACCAAGAATACTCACTTTAACTTTCTCTTTAACCCTATTAACACCATGACAACCTCTAGTGCCCTAACATTACTGTTTCCTCAACACAGGGTCCTGAGGGACCTCCAGGCTTCCCAGGAACCCCAGGAGACATTGGACCTAAAGGCGATAAGGTTAGATGCTCAGTTACATCACCAGAAATCTACAAAATACAACAGAATGTGTAAAATAGAAAAGTGTCTTAATGAGTCTCTTGCATACAGGGAGACCGGGGAGAGGGTCAACCTGGCCCCAGGGGACCCCCAGGGCCTCCAGGACCTCCAGGACCAGGACTCAGATCTGTGAGTTAATCTTGGCCTCAGTCACATGCTGTATTGTACCTAACTTGCATCATGACGACTGCCTGTCTTTGTAAATCATTTGTTGAATAAAACTGATTTTGAATGTATTTCAGACTTTTGTGGACATGGAAGGCTCCGGTTTCCCTGATTTGGAAACTATTCGGGTGAGAAGAGTTAAAATCTGAAATATAGTAGAGGGCATCACCTTTGTTGTTGTAAGACTGTAACCAGGATCATAGCTATCTGTAAATATCTGTGAAAGGATTTGATTTTTTTGTTGTAGGGACTTCCTGGCCTACCTGGTCCCCCTGGTCCCCCCGGTCCTCCTGGTCCCTCTACAGCAGGCACTGGATCAAGTTCTGGGGCATTTGGACCACCAGGAAAGGACGGAGCGCCTGGTCAACCTGTAGGTGTCTCAAACTGTCTCAATCGTGATTTTAATGACTGTAGTCTAATCAAATCAACAATTACTGTATATCTGAACCAAATCTTTTGGCTTTTAGGGCTTGCCTGGTTTGCCGGGTACTGATGGCCTCCCAGGACGTCCTGGTCTCAATGGAGAAAAGGTAATGACCTTGTGAAAATGATTATTTCTTCTGTAAAGATGGACAAAATCTGATCTCTAGAACTGAAGCCACAGTGCTTGTCAATAGCGGTCATAGTGTAAACTTGAATTGTATTTACTTAAAGCTGAACTGAAATTAAAATAAAATAAGTGGATATATTTTTGGTATTTGTTGATAATATTGGTGCTTGTAATTTGAGCGTGGGCAGACTCTAATATAATACATAATATCAGCTCAATTCCAGCAACCACACAGCCAGTCAGTAGAGATGTTCTGATACTATTTTCTCCTTCCTGATACTGATACCTAGTTCTGATCTGATACTTGTGTTAAAAAATAAGTATATATAGCTTTTTTTTTTTTTTTAAACAAATAGTAATGGCAAGTGGGAATAGGGCTAAAATTAGCAATATAGGCTAACTAGCTCCCTTTTGAGTGAAAGCGAGTTAGTCTCAATTGCTAACTTTCACTTTCTGAGAGGGAAAAACAAACTTAACAACTCTCTAGTGTTAGTCAATGTTAAATGTTGTAAAGGTTGCTAATTGTACATAAACACAATAGCTAGGTGAAAAAAAACAGCTTGTATCAATATATGTAGGCTGTAATGTACATATGTTTTTCTATTTAGTTGCGCACCATCTAGCAATGCTGGTTATGTCCAGTATGTCCAAAAATGGACACATTAGGGTTTTTATTACCTCACATAAAACGGAAGGAGGATTTAAGTTTCAGTTCGACTCTACCTAGCATTTCTATAAACATGTTTTGTCCTACTCATTTTCCTATGCTAGGGTGATGCAGGCGAGCTCGGTCTTCCAGGAGCAGTTGGAGAGAAGGTGCGGATTTATGACCTTTTTTATTTTATTTGTTTTTCCAATTGTACCTTCAGCAGCTTCACAGTGAGACCTACACTCCAAACCACAACCAAATGCAAATGCATAAGACTGTATTTCTGAGAAGAAGGTGCATAAATTCAGGTCCGAGTTGGTGGCGTGCTCTTGAAACACCACAACTGTGTAATGGTACCCATTCGTTAACTAGAATGATACATCAACTTTCATCCAACTATTTCTAAAGCTTTTCTCATCCCTTTCATTTCTCCAGCCAAGCTCCCACCTTTCTTTTCTCACCAATCTGCTGCCTCACTTTTTATCCTCCTCCTACTTTCCTAAGCCTTCCCATCTGCAGGTAACTGGGCGCCAGCACATCAGCCATCAAAGGGGATTTGTGTCTTCTAACAATATGCAAATGTTTGTCAAATATTGTCAGCTACAGACGTGACTTAAAGTTTAATCTGGCTATGGTTTAAGTGCTGGCTATGGTTTACTTTAACATTTGATGACGTCTGAATTTGGTCCCAGAACAATGAGCATGGGTGTGATACTGTGTGTACTAAATGATACTATGTGCTTATTACTAGTAACTAAATGCTGTATGACACAGGTATTAGTAGTTTTGTATAGGGATGCTTGAGATACCTAATAATTCAAATAAAAAACCCTAACTATGTTTTTTTTTAAGTTAGTATTTATTTATTCTGATTGAACTACTGTCATTCCATCCTACAGGGAAATCAAGGAAACCCTGGTTTACCAGGAACACCAGGAGAGGCTGGACTGGCTGGTCTGCCTGGACCGATGGGACCTGTTGGGCAACCTGGACCTCCCGGGCCTCCTGGACCGAGTTATCGTGTTGGATTTGTAAGTTCTCTATTATTTTTTGGTAGAGTTGAAAATAAGTCTCACAGTAAAAGAAACAGAAAATACAAAACTTTATCTCTGCAGTTTAGCTTTGTCCTAATATCTTTGTTGGTGTTTAAAGGACGACATGGAAGGCTCTGGTGGAGTTTTCTCCAATGGACTTCCTGGCGTCAGAGGACCAGAAGGAAGACAGGTCAGTACTGTATCTTGAAGAAATACTTCAGATTAGATCAGATATCCTTATTACAGGTCAGAGTAAGTCTCTGATCCCAGGTCTGATCAGCAGCTTGAAATTGTGGTCAAGCCAAGTCCTCACTTTTGTAGGAGGCACTAGGTGCAAGATGGTGATTGTTTCATACTCTCACTTGCTCTCAAGTGCTGTTTGTCTTGCTTGGAGAGCAGCTAAAATAAGAGCTTTGGTGTAGCTTACTTAACAGTATTTACCAAGAGATGCTACAGTTGGCACAACAACAGTGACTGGTTATCTACATTAAGTAGTATTCATGGTAGCAATATCTGGAAAAACCAACAGGCAAACAGGTGTACCCAGCCCATTTTTAATTAATTTCTTTAACTGTTTTGGGTAAAGTTGAATCATACGGGCTATTCGGCATCGCTACCATACATTCTGTGGATGATCTGAGTACAAAGTATCATTGTTTCTAATAAAGAAACAATGATACAAAAATGAATATTTAACTGGAACAGTTCCAATAATTATTAGTACGAAGTTGCAAATGCATGAGGAAGACATACTTGAGCTTGAAGATAATCAAGGACATTGTGTTTGCTTTCAGGGTCCTCCTGGCTTGCCTGGACTTCCAGTAAGTAACATCATTTTTCCAGTAATCTATCAAAAACAGGGTCCTTTTGTCCCACTTTCCAACTCACCTGTTTTTTTTCTACTTTTAAAGCAAATTATTGGTTAAAATGGTCTTATTTTGAGCATGTGAAATTTGTGTCAACACACAAACAAGCCTGAGGTACAGCTTCCTGCGACTGAAGCTAGGTCTCTAAGGCAACCGGCGAGTGTTTAGCCCTTGTCCTCCCCTCAAGTCTTAATGAGTTTATTTAACATTCAGGTTTGGTTTATTGGCGGTGGACTTATCCTTGCTACTCTCCTTTGCTGTCATTTCACGTTTTTGGTTTTATAAACAGGGGTTGAGAAAAATAAGCTGCAGCTTAATTGATTCTTAAGGGGAAATCTATGGTGGGAGGGCTATGTGCTCTAAACGGAAACAGGAATAATAGAAACAATACAAGCACATAAAAGGATAGTATAGATTTATCCTGATTATTGTATTGAGTAGAATGTATGAAAATATACGGGTCAGAAAGACAAACTCATAGCAACACAGCAATCCATTTTTCGCTGGTGTTTCAGCTCAGGTTTGGTCCACCACCACGTGATGGCGATGGCTGCAGATTTGGGTCTTGATTTTTAATGGTATAATACGTGCAAGCAAACTTTCTTTGTTTCGCTGAATTTAATTTTTCACTGGTGTAACTTCAATGTACCTCTGCAGGGGAAACCTGGTTTCCCTGGTCTACCAGGTCAGAAGGGCAATGAAGGCTCTGTAGGAAAAGACGGACAGCCGGGATTGGATGGCTTCCCTGGACCTCAGGTAAAAGGATTCCCCTCTAGATTCCTCTTATGAGACGTCAGAATGTTACAGAGTCTTAGATGTTTGAATCTTTTGTGATGAATCAGAGCGTTGTGGGAAAAACAGAATAATCATCTTTTGTACATCCTGACTCCTGTTGCTGTTCCCAGCAGTACAGAACAGTTTACAACGGTTACAAAAAGTTCACTTAACCTTGGAAATAATAGTTTATTTAAAAAGGTCCACTTACTAGCCTTTTCCAGAGNNTGTCATGTCTTCATTAGTGGATGAATGTGTTTAGTTGTTATGGAGATGGGCTCATGGGCTCGGTTAACCATACTAAGGTCACATGATCGCAAACTCCATCCACTGACAGTTAGATGCAGTTCTGTGGCTAGTAAATTGATTGTCAATACAGCCAATATCCTTTGGAGCAACAAATGAGGCCTAATTTTGATGTAATCTGTTGAAATGTGTGTGTAACCAGTTTTGAATTAATAACATTAATATCACATTTTCATGTGCATTTCTTACCTTTGTGAGAAATGAAGTTTACATATTTTCCCCATTTGATATTTAAAACTTATCTAATTTTCAATTGAGGCAAGGCAATGTTGATGTGCTTAAGAAAAATCTATTGAATTTCAAATATTTACCAGGTTTATCAATCAATAATATATCAGAATACAAGCAATTATTTTATTGTTTTTAGTGAATAAGAAGGTTGTTCCTCCTGTCAGACCTTTTATGAAGCAGGTATTGGACATACAGTGCTTTCAGGTATCTTTTGTCTCATTCTTCTTCATTTTACAGGGACCAAAGGGTGACAGAGGTGACAAAGGAGAGAGGGTCAGTGTCATTTTTAAACTGGATATC